ACACACTTGAAGTGCAACGCACATACAATTCCATCTTACTATAATGGACGTAGTGTGTATGTCAATATCTATATATGTAACCAAAACTCCTGCTCCATCTATACAATGGCACTACTAGCAAAAATTTTCACACTTTGGGTATTCAAGATTTAGACAATTAGAAAAATAATTGTCATATGTGTAACAACCATTTCTTTATAATAGAACACGTTTTTAAATAAAAGTACTCTCCTCACAACAAGAACATGACTTTCACTAGGACTGTACGTGAGAGTTTCATAAATTTTATATTGATGTAATTTTAAATGTAGTACTGAGAAACTGGATTTCTTAAAAAACTGTTATTTTTTCAATAAATGGTACCACTTTTAATATATAAAAACATTACAATTTATTAAAAAAATTATTAAAATTTTGAGCTCTGTACCTTGAATCATTTTGATGCAATGAGTTACGTATGACTAAAGAGCACAATCCGAACATTTTTCCTGTGCAGTACTTCACAGAAAAAGTTCCGTTTTTAGAAAATGTTCACTTTTACTAATTTTTTTCAGTGAGGTATGAATACTACAATTAGTAATTACCAGCACAAACAGCTGTTCACAGGGCAGCATTTCTGCTATTTCATTTAAAAGAAATATATAAGGTTCAGAATTACTCTGTAATCTCATTAAATAACATATATATGTATATATAAGATACAACATATAAATGTAAATCAAGTCTGAAAGAAATGTATAGGTATAATATGTAAAAAACATAGTTTCAATAAAAGTTATTACTTACCAGAAGAGATTTTAACATCATATTTTTTTGATCATCTGTGAACTCGGCAAACCACTTTTTCATAACCTGAATCAATACACATAAAAATCAAGAGAGCTCAGAAGTACTTAAATGTGTCAAACTAAAAACTGACAAAATGTGAAACTCTATTTTACACCAATGTTTTATAATGTAAAGATATGAATACCTCTTTTAAAGTTTAAGGTCATAAGCAACTAAAAGTATTGTGAATATAGTCAGTACATTTCTTTGGGTAGATTTTTCAATACAAACACAAAGTAAATAGTCCAAGTATCTCAATTACAAAACAAGTAAGCTCTCTTTCAAAAAATTGCTTGAAATAATTTTATGATTATTATTAAAATTAGGATTAGTAAAAGAATGAAAAACAACATATCTCTCATATGCCAATATGATAGGACATATAATACTGTGAATCCCATAAATAAAGTGCATGTGAATGACCTCGTGTATACAATGTTGTTTTTATGTAGTCACTGGCTATACAATATATTGATTTTATGTCCACTGATGATACAAATTAATAAGTATTATTTCTTGCTTCTTTAACACTTTTGATATGCTTATCTTTTAAATATTAATATAGAGAGTACCTCAATTTCTGTTACAAGCTTATGACAAGTTTCCATTCCTGATAAAATGGGAAGTGTCAATATAGTTAAATCTGATTGATAAATATTTCAGTTAATTACGTATAATCTGCAAAACATTAAACTTCTAACTCATAAACATAAATTATTGTTTGTTTGTTATGAATTTTGTGCAAAGCTACATGAGGGCTGTCTGCACTAGCCATCCCTAATTTAGCAGTGAAAGGCTAGAGGGAAGGCAGCTAGTCATCACCACCTACTACCAACTCTTGAGCTACTCTTTTACAAACGAATAGTGGGATTCATTGTCACATTATAATGCTCCCATGACTGAAAGGGTAAGCATGTTTGGTGCAACAGAGATTCGAACCTGTGACCCTCAGATTGTGAGTCAGGCAGCCTAGCCACATGGTCATGCCGGGCAAATTATTGTTGATTTGTGCTGAATGTACAGTACTAAATTCTGTAGTCTAGTGTTATGTGCATTTCATAATTAATAACTAAAGTTCAATGACACAATTCAATAAAAGAAAAATGCATATAGAAACAGTAGCTGTAAATACATACATCCACTTTTAACTTGAATTCTGATGGGCTTATTTTCTGTAATCGAGAGTTTAAACCCACACCAGTTTCTGGTGGATGTGGACAAGCAGCAGCCACTGTAAGTGCCTTATCTAAAGGGCAGGTAAATCGTCCTTCATACATTGCAGGAGTGTAGCATTGACTGCTTTCTCTAGAAAAATCTGCTTTAAAGTTATGACGAGGTTTATAGCAGTGTGGAAGGCTGAAACACTTTCTTGAAAAAGAGAGCAAGTTGCGAGCTATTCCTGATCCCCTCTTACTGGTTCCTCCAAATCTTCTTTGAGTATGAGAAGCTGGTATGTAACTGTTCAGGTCAACAACTTGATGACAAGGACATGGATTATAGTAGTTCACCCAGTCAAGAAGAGGGAGGTTGGCACACAGTTCTGTTGCTGATGCACTTTTCATGTTACTAGGTGCAAATCGTCTTTGAACTGCTGCGCTAAGTTTTGTGCACAGGAGACAGTTATGTACTTCATTTAGGTTTCCTTCAAAGTATCTCACTGGTCTTAAGTAGCAGGAGTGACATTGTGCAAAGCAATTTTCACAAAAATCTTCCATTTCTAAGTTAATATAAAACTTGTACTATCAGGAAATTTTTAAAATGTTTAAAGCTGCCACATATAAAACTATGAAATTGTTTCACATGTTCTATATTTCAGATCTTGAAAAAGGTATTTTCACAACCACTTTGCTGATATATAAAATTTTTAAATTACTTTGTAATTAAGCAATTCACAGTTCAAATTTGGTTATGAATGTGGGAAACACATTTCATTAGGTATATTTTGTGTTTTAAATAAGCATCCCAGCCAGAATATTGCAGTGCACCTAAGAAGAAAGGGATTTCAGATAACCTTCTGAAGTGGATTTCATTTTAGGTTGGACAAATATAGTTTAAGCAGGTTGATAATCTGTAAAATAAAAAAAATACATTCAATATATTACAAATACAAATACATTACATTCAATTAACTGACTATTCACACATGGGACTTAAATAGTTGGAATGATCATAAATAGCAATAATCAGAAACACTAGTTGATTAATTATGTGAGTCACAATACTAATTTATCAAACTAGTCATGATCATGATTGTGACATTAATCGACTGAATCATAATCTTTATTAAATGAGTATTTTATGTGACACTAACTGATGTTCAGGTAACTGATTAATCAAGTTAATCATACAGCTTTATCAGTTATAAGAAAATCACTGAAAAATTGTAAAAATTTATTCATAACCAAATTTTTCTTACAATTGCAGCAAACATCTGAATAATACACAGTAAATCACTCAAGCTTTCAAAGCAGTGCTAATAAAAATTTTGGATTTTTTATAGATATATTGATAATATGTCAAAAGATGTAATTATCTGTCAAAAATTGCTTAGGCCTCACTTTAAATACTGTGTACTTTTTGGTTTCCTTAATCTAAGAACAGATATACTGACTTAGTCAAAAGGGCTCAGAGGAGGAGTACTACTATGATCTCAAATGGAAAGGTTATCTCATTTGGTGAAGTTAGGATCTGCTAATATATTTTCTCTTGAGGAAAGAAGGGTAAGCGGTGATGTTATTGAAGTTTACAAGAGTACCCAAGGGATTGATATGATAAAGTTAGGGGGTTTCATTAAGTAGCAAAATCGGAGGGGGAAGACCAGTTTCTGAACCCTTAATATGAATAAAGATTTATCTAGCCAAGCCTATCATTTATTTTAATATTATGTATGACCATCTTTTCCCATTGTTTATAACATTAATGTTAGTCCAGCATTGTATGCATGAAGTTTTTTTTTTTTTGCATTGTCACCCAGCAACAAGCAGGGATTAGGTGTTCCATTTCAACAGGGCCCAAAGGTTTTTTTTATGAACAGTTGACCATAATTTTGGTAGTTTCTAATCCATGATGCCAAACATAATTTATGCAGACAAGAATCCCAATTCTTCCCTATCACAAAATTAGAATGAAAAGTACAGGTTTAGTAAGAATTTTTCAATGGTTTAGTTGGAAAGGAGTAGAAAAGCAACTCATGTGATCAAGTGTTATCCAATAATCCTTCAATATTTGTTGAACATCTCTTCATGAGGATAAATTATGGAAAACCAAAGTTATTACTCAATTTTTTCAATCTGAATCATGAAAAAAATGGACTAGAGACTATATACATATACTTGTAAACGAGTATTTACAGGTAAGGTTTCTCAGTAAAATGTACTGACCCATTCTAAATGTTTCAAAAAATTTCAATACGTATTTTGGATCCTTTTTTATAAATATAGTAAATGTTTAGATTTTTCTTAATGAAACCCCTGAAAAGCCTCTAATTACTTTCTGCTATACTCTGAAGAAAAAGAAGATGATGAGGATACAAGTTTATGACTTGGAAGGCCAGTCTATAAGACATTTATTTTTCTATCAGGGTGGTTAACTTATGGAATGAGTTACGACTGGCAGCAGTGTGGGCCAGCACAATGCTTAACAGGAGTTTAAAAGAAAAAAAAAAGACTTTCTAAACAGTAAGAATGGGTTTCAATTTCTACTTTTCCTAAGGGTAGGTGTACCTTGAAGGATCATTAGTTCCTTGTTGTCTGTAGGGTAAGTAATTGCAATAAAAGAAAAATGCTGTTCAGATGAACAAGTTTATTATATTCATTAACATATAATATCTTTAGAAAAATCAGTACAAAACTTTCTGGCCACTTACTTTCAAATTTTGCATACAACTAGAATATTATTCTTCTACTTCTAGATTACAATGTGAAGGTAAATGATAGTCATTCTTTTACTATCTCTTTTTATTTTTCTTACTCTAGTAGCAACTTTCAAAAGTGTGTGACTGAGCAATAAACAGTAGGAAAATAAATGAAGACTAAAAATTGATTTTTTTTTTTCACTGATAAAGAACTGAGTTTACCCTATATTTAATATGGTCTTTTCTCCATACTCTTAATATAATTTTTTTGTCTACCCTGGTTATCTGGTTCATATCAAAATTTTTCACGTTACAAATATAAACTCAAAACATTGACCAATCCATGCTGTAAAGAATTTTTTATCTTGTTAACATGTAAAAGTGGTAGGACTAGGAGACATAAGTTTAAAGTTCGGCAGGGCAGAAGATGTCTGCAACTGAGGCAATTTTTTCTAAACAGGGTGGTAAGCATTTGTGACAGACTGTCACCACTTCATATATATCAATATGGTAAATGCAATAGGATTAGGAAAGTTCAGGAGAAGGTTTAACGAGTGCTTAAAAAATAAAGGCTGGATATATGCAGTTTGGTGTTTTATGCAATGAACTGAATGGGACAGCCACGATGGACCAAGATATATCTTGTTGTCCCTCAATTGTTGTATTCTTATTATTAATATTAGTATTACTTAAAAACGAAAAGATTAAATAAATACAAGCAGATTACAGCTTCTATTATACCTCTAGAATTTTTAGCCTATGTAGAAACATCTGTTTCTACGTTAGGATTAACGCCATTACATTTACAGTTTTTTTACATTTAACCGTGTTTAATCAATATTTCAAAGTGAAAAGTACTAAGCCTACTGGAGCTGAACTTGAAAATCATGCATTTTATTCTATGTACTCGATAATTTATATTATAATTTTAAGGCTAGAGTTACTTTAGGCCTTCTTTTCTTCGAATATCATTCGATTTGTAACAGTTATCTAAATAATTACATTAAGTTAGAATAATATGGTATACTTATCAGTCTTCTGGTTTATTATTATTAATTAACATTTTATAACAATATTTTAAGTTAACATTGGAACATTTAGGTTGATACGTATGGCGCGCCACCTGTAAGAATGTGTTTCTATAGTAACGTTTGACAAACAGCAGTACAATTAAAGTGCCATTATGATGTAATATTAGACATACCCTAAGATATAGGCATTTTACTTTGGGAATATTAATATTTTCTATTGTAAAATATATAAATATTTGCATGGTTATACAAAACACACACTTACAGGTTAAACCTTCTTATTTATAATGGGAATTTGAATGTCAACATTGATGAAGGAATAGTGCATAAATTACTTAAATTTGCAGATGATATTAATGTCTCGCGTGTTGTTAGCTATGAAGAGGATGCTGCTGATTTACCAAAGGATTTAGATCATTTAGTGATTAGGCAAATAAATGGCAGATGTGTTTTAATTATAATAAATTCAATATAATGCATGAGGGTCATCATAATTTGAATTATAAGTATAATTTGGATGCGAATAACCTTAACAGTGTTATGAAGGAAAGGAATCTTGGTGTAATAGTCGATCAGTCTTCAAAGCCATCTAAGTCATTTATGTTGTATCTACAGAAATATTGAATAAAAGTCTAAAGAGGTTATAATTTCATTGTACAGGTCATTGGTTAGGCCACATTTGAAATATTGTGTTCAGTTTTGGGCTCCTTACCTTTTGAAAGGCATTGAATTGTTATAAAGTATTCAGAGAAGGGTTACTAGAATGGTGCCTGGGATAAAGGGGTTGTCATACGAGGAGAGGCTGAGATCTCTCAAATTGTTTTATCTTGAAAAAAGAAGAGGTAGGGAGGATCTGATTGAGGTGTTTAAGATTATAAAAGGAATTTATAATGTTGATGTATCATCTTTTTCCATATTTAACAGTGAGAACAGTAGGATTATGAGACACAAATATAAATGTTGGCAAGTTGGGCGTCATCTTCAGCTAAGATAGTTTCATTTTTCTAACAGGGTAGTTGACCTTTGGAATCGGTTGCTTTCGGATGTTGTAGAGGCAGTAAATTTACGTGAGTTTAAGAAAAAGCTTGATAAGTATATGAATGATAAGGGCTGTCTTTAAGATTTTTTGAAAATTATTTTAATTTAGTTTAGAAGATGGAACAGCTGAGATGGACCAAAAGGTCCATGTTGTTCGAAAACATTATGTTATACGCTATGATAGCATGATAAATTACTTACAGCAAATAGCAGCATGTGTATATTTAATAAAGATTTCCAAACAGGAAAAAGTGAAAACGTGATGTTTTATTACCGTTTAAAGATTTTTGGAATATAATTATTTATTTTAAAGAAATCGGCAGTATAAAAAACATGGAACGGTTTCTTGAATTGATTAAAAGCTTCTCACACAGCTAATATAAAATCATGGCCGTTGTTTTCAATTGATTTAAAACTGATGATTTATTTGTCACTATATACACTGAGTGGTCACAAGTAAATAGACACCTAATTTAACTGATTTATGCTAACTAATTTATGTTCACAAAGCACTATATAAATGAAAATGGTCCGCACACTTATTATCTTGTGCTACAACATGCCTAG